GCAAAGAGACAGGCAACTTTGTTGAGATGAAAGTGACAGTGTGGCCCGGAAAAGGATTCGGGAGGTGGTGGAGCTTCCTGCCAACCCGACGTTGGCGGACCTAAAAAAGGCCTACAAACCAAAGACAGATGTTCACCGTAAATGCTTCAAGGTGGCGGCAGGCAGCGGCAACGCGGAGAATGGGCAGCTGCAACATGTCACACTGGTGGACAAGCAGCCGCTGAGGGAGCAGGGCGTGAAGGAGGGAGGGAAGATTATTTACAAGGACTTGGGGCCGCAGGTGGGTTACCGCACGGTGTTCATCGTGGAGTACGCAGGGCCACTCGCCATCATGCTCGGCTACGCCGCGCGCCCGTCCTTCATATACGGCAGCAACATCACGAGCGGATACGGTTACACACAAAAACTTTTTATCTCCCTCTTCACCGCGCACTTTGTGAAGCGGGAGCTGGAGAGTTTGTTTGTGCACAAATTCTCGCACGCGACGATGCCACGCCGCAACATCATCCGAAACTGCGTGTACTACTGGAGCTTTGCCCTCTTTATTGGCTATGTGCTGTGCCACCCGAAGTACACGGAGCCGTCGTCGCGCGTTCTTGTGAATGCCTCGGCAGCCGCCATGGTGGTCTTTGAGCTCCTGAACTTTGCTGTGCATAAGCAACTGAGTGGCATGCGCCGGGGTGATGGTGACACGGCCCGCACTGTACCACAGGGCGTTCTGTTCTCCCTTGTCTCCTGCCCGAACTACACGTTTGAGGTGCTCTCATGGGTCGCCTTCTCCCTCGGCACGAGCCTGTTGTCATCGTGGTTCTTTACCCTTGCCGGCTTTGTGCAGATGGCGGAGTGGGCGGTGAAGAAGCACAAGGGCTACGTGAATTCCGATCCAAAGGTGAAGCGCAGGAAATGCATGGTGCCGTTTCTCTTCTAAGCAACGTGGGGGAGAGGGGGGAAATGGAAAAATGGAGGATTATTCTCCCCCTCCATTGCAAAAACCAAAAAAAAAAAAAAAGGGGGGAAAGAGAAGAGAGGAATAGAGTAAAAAAAAAAAATAATAATAATAATAATAATTGAAGATGAGTACAAAGCCACAGAAACAGAAGAGAAAGAAAACGGCTGTACAGAAGAATTATTATTTATTTATTTATTTATTTATTATTATTTATGAGGCACATAAATAAATAAATATATATATATATGCATGTGTAGTGTGGGATTTACTGAGCGCCTTGTGGTAACGTAGTATGCATGTGCTCCACGGACATTTACACCATTGCATCGCCCTTAGTGTATATGTGTACGTGTCTGTAATGTGTGCGCGTGCATATGCATTCGCTGATAATAACGAAATCAAGGAGAGAAAAAAAAAGAAAAGAAGGAAGAAGAAGAAAAAAAAAAAAAAAATCATGTCACTCTGCTAACTGAAAGAACCGGCGCCGGTCATTACTTCCCATGTTTCCCCTAATTGTCACTCCTGCGGAAATGAAGTAAAGAAATGGCAGGTGTTGCGATCCATACATATATATATATTTATATATATGAACAGACACGTATACAAATGCGCACAAAGGCTGTGGGAAATCACACGGGAGGAGGCAGTGGCATAAATAATGTCTATGATGAAGGAGGAAAAAAAAAAAAAAGAAAGAAACCACACATATCGATCTATCTTTATCTTTATATATATATATATACATGTACTGCCTGAATTAATGGCTGGCAGCAAAGCGTAAGAGCATATGACCATCGCAATTGGGGGGCGCGTCAAAAGCCAGGGCCTATTTAACGCATGAACTATTGGTCACTTTTCTGGTGACGGGATAGTTGTTGTTGTTGTTTTTTCTTTTTTTTTTTTTTTTTTTTTGTTAAAAAAAACAGGAAAAAAAAAAAAAAACATGTCCATACATGTACACGTTGACTTAACGACTGTCTCATTGTGTGCCTCTCTGTGTGATTGACTAGCTGCTTGTTTCCGGAAAGAAAAAAAAAAAAAAAAAAAAAGGCGGGTCGGCAAAACCGAAATGTTCTACCGAAACAAAAGGAACACAAGAAGAAAACGGAAAACAAAAAAAAAAAAAAAAAAAGGGAAAATTATTTTTAGTACTTATAAATCCGTACAAAAAGGAATAAAAAAAGGGTGGGTTGGTGGGGATGGCGGGGAAAGGAAGGAAATGAGCATCTTCATTTTGTTG